CTGGAAGGGATCTGAAAGTTTACTAGTCTCGTCCCTTGCTTAGCACAGGGTCCACCAGAATATGGCTCAGAGAGGAGCCTTCAGCTTCTGTTTGAATCTTCACAGGTGTAACCAACACATCACTAGCTTTTACAGTCAGCTGATGGTTAGCCTGAATCACCTTGTAGTTTTATCTTACAGCTTCTGTCCTAAATTCACTTCCTCTCCGTGTGATAATCCGATAATTCGATGTTTGAATAATGTTTTTGTATCACCCCTTAACCATCTCTTCTTTTTCAGTAGGCTAAACTTTTCCAGATCCTTTAACTCAGGGCTCCCCAATCCCTGGGCCGGTTCGTGGCCTGCCAGGAACTAGGCCACAAGTCCACAGAAAATCCACCCTCCACAAAACCAGTCCCTGGCGCTCAAAAGGTTGAGGGCCAACTGTTGAACAATGATGCTTACTTAAGTTGTGTGGATATGTTTACTTCTGTTCATCACGTTCTCATTATACACTAAATAAATAACAATGCTAGTCAGATATAGCAGATTTATGTTGGAAGTTTAGGAGAGTGATTCATATCACAAAAGTCCAATTTGTTTTCTTTTAAAGACATTTTATTCTGCTTTTCGGTCAGTCCTGGGAGCAGTTTATGTATCTTTTCAAGACTGGCAGACACAAGGCAGAAGGAGAAAGGATGGTGAGAGTATTGCCGTTCTCAAGGCAACTCTGGAAACTGAAAAGGAGAAGTGCTGGCTGGGTGGGAATTTCGAGAAACTGGCTGGTGGCAGAGTTGGAATAAAACATTCGGAGTGTCTGCCAATTCTAATCTAACCCTCTTGTCTTTTTTTGAAATTGTAGATTATGAAAAAATCTTCTCTCTCCTAGAAGAAATACAAGGCCCTGTAGAGGTTCAAAAATATTTCATTGAATTTGCTATCAAAGAAGCAACAAGGTGTGTATCAAGACAACCTGCTAAAACAGAAAGACTTCACTTCACTGCCTGGCTCCTTTACATAGTTTGTGAATATTCAAAATGTGCTCCTTTCTGTAGGGGCTCCCAAGGGGCAGATGGACCTCTTATTATTTCCCAAGAGATCAAAGCTGTTGGCCGTTGCTGGTTTTATTTTATTTATTTAATTTGATTTGTATGCCGCCCTATCTCCATAGGACTCAGGGCGGCTCACAACAATTAAAATCAAACCAGATAAAAACATATTAAAATACAAATTAAACATATGTTAAAACTCATTAAAATAATCAAACCCCATCAGTCCAGGCTGGGCGATTTAAACAGCCATGTCTTTAGTTTGTGGCGGAAAGTGCAAAGGTCAGGGGCCAACCGGAGCCCCCGGGGGAGTTGATTCCAAAGGGTGGGTACGCCCACAGAGAAAGCTCTACCTCTGGGGGCCGCCAGCCAACATTGTCTAGTCGACGGCACCCTAAGTAGGCCCTCCCTGTGAGAACTCTCCGGGCGATGGGAAGCTGTTGCTGGTTTACATTGTAGAAACACTAAGCTCCGTCTGTCTGTCTGTCTGTTCAGACACACTGGAAGAAGAATGCGATGCCGTTAATAAACAGCCTCCCTTCTTTTTCTCTCTTTCTTTCTTTTTTTTTTAGGTTTAAAAAACGGGTCTTAATTCAGCACTTAGAAAGAATACTAGAGGAAATAGAATTCAGCAGCCTTCCCAACCGAATTAATCATGTCAACAGTAGATAATAATAGCGTGCCGGCCAGAGGAACGGACGGGACCGGCCGATGGGAGTTCGCTGTGCCGTGGAGGAATGGAAGAGGACGTGGCAGCCGCTGCCTGTGCCAGCCTGGCAGGCGGGCGTCTTTTCTGTGGGCGTCTCAGAAGAAGCAGGGTGATGTTTTTACGCTTAAGGCACCTCTTTGGCCGGACACCGGAGGAATTTGCCGCAGGAGGTGTGTGGCTCCTCCTTCCCCATCCACCTTCGGAGGGCTGATCTGCCCCTGGGCCGAAGAAAGACACTCAGTGCCGCCCCCTGGGTCCTGCAGGTGATGAGAATTTACTCATTTGAACCCTTGGCTGTAAGACACTTTTGCTGTAGGCCACTCTGGGCGAATGGCGCACCCCCGTGTTATCTCTGCAATTGTGTCGGAGCGATCCTTTGTCCTAAAAAAAAAAAAAAAAAACCAAAAGGAAAGGAAAGAGAGGAGAGGAGGAGGAGGAGGAAAGGCCCTCCGTGGTGGTGGTGCGTCTTGTCACTACGGGCACGAAGGTGGCCCTTTCCCACGAGATGCGGCTAGCCAGCCCAGGTCGCAGGGTCAGTTGGATTTACAGGCGTTGCTCTTCCTGGGTTGAGGAGACCCTCTCGAGAGCCCTGGGACGGACGGACTGGCTGGCTGCTGCTGCTGCTGCTCCTGTGGTAGCCACTCTACAACCTACCTCAGTCTTCCTCTTCTTCTTCTTCTTCTTTTGTCTGCAGACGTTCTGCAAGCGCGCCCGAGGCTCCCCAGGTCCAGGCTTCAGTTCTCTTTCATCTCGGTGAGGAGGACGGAGACTCTTCTCGTGGACTTGGCTTTGGAGGCGCTTAAAAGGAAACTCGGGGTTTAGGAACAAAAAAACAAAAGCCAGGAAAAAAAAAAAAAGAACTCCCACCCCCTCCCTCCACACGAATTTTACTTTTTAAATGTTCATACCAGAAGAAATTATTTTGGGACAGTGTTGTTTAACAGATCCTTAATTTGAGATATCAAATGGCGTGCTTGTGTGTGTGTGTATATAGACATCTATACATATATATATATATATACATATATATATATATATATATATATACACATATATATACATATATGTATACATATATATATATATATGAGAGGATTTTTTGAGCACTTGTACATAATAAAAATCATTTTATGATTTTTTCTAAGGAGTGCCTAATCTGAATGGGGGATTGTTTTTTTATTGGCGTGCCAGTTGTCAGTGAAAAAAAAATACCTTGGAAAGGAGGAAAACTCTGCACCTCCGTGACTCTCCCTTCCAGCTTTTCCTGTTGAACCGAATGGCTCAAGGTTGCCGTGGTGTCCCATCTATCTGCTTCGGAGCAGGCCCGAGTGGGTGACTTTTGTCCAGTGGTGGGATTCAAATAATTTAACAACCGGTTCTCTGCCCTAATGACCAGCTGGGTAGGCGTGGCTCGGTGGTCATGTGACCGTGTGGGCGTGGCCAACTCACCATCACTCACATCGAAGTGCGCTTCGCCTTAGCTGTTACAATGTAATAAAGGTTAACCAGGGGCAGTTTCTGTAAGCAGGGCAATACAGTTTAGGCTAGAAACACCAGAATGTTTCCTTCCTGCCTTCCCTACAGGATTAGTCCTGTAAAGTGGAAAAAAACAAAAGGAGATTTCTTCCAACAACCAGTTCTCCAATTCTAGTAAACTTTCTAGTCTAGTTCTCTGCTGAGAAAGTTAACAACCGGTTCTCCCGAATAGGTGCGAACTGGCTGAATCCCACCACTGCTTTTGTCTCTTTAGACTTCAGCCTGTCAACAACCAGCTTCAACTTTAGGTTGCTGAGCAGTTTATTTTGCTCTTTGTCCAACAAGGGAACTTGGTGCGCTCCAGAGGTTTTAGCTTTCGCCTGTTGCAGGGGAGCTGGGAATTGTCATTCCAAACAACTGGGACGCAACCCCGCTATCCACCCCTCTTGTCCGGATAAGGAAGTGATGGGATGGATGGTAAAAGAGGCAGGCTATGGTGACTTCCTGAGCGTAACCGGCCCACGCTTATGGGATGCTGTTGCCTGCAGACATCCTGAGGGCGCGTGGCTAAATTTTGGAGACTTTCCTTCGTAGCTGCAATTTGGAAACGTAAGCATCAACGCTGATTTTCATGGAGATCAGAGTTCCTAAACCTTTCCGGCTTTGCAAATTCGTCTGTGTGTGTGTGTGATTTTGCACTGGCAAGCACATACACACGCGCAGCTCCATTTGTGCAAGTGGCCGGCAAGCACACCTGCCGCTCGTACAAATGAAGCGTGTGCGCTCGCCTGCAGTAATAGACCGAGGTCTGGGGGTTGGGGACCCCTAATGTAGTAGAGCACAGGCTGAAGAAATGTTTGCTTTTGCTCCACTTGTGAGGATAGTTAGAAACGTCGTGTCTTGGGGAGGTTCTAGATGTTTAAATTGGGTTCTCACTTCCAGTAGTTCATCGCGGGATAATGGGAATTAACTGGGCGTAGGTGTTGCTCGGAACTGAAATATCGTGTTGCATCAGGTGCAAAAGTACCTGACGGCTGCAGGCAAAAAAAAATAAATAAAAAAATTAGCTTGCCTGCAGAAACTGTTGATCATATTGGCAGGCCTGCTTCCAGCCTTAAATTGAGGCAGAATTTCCCCTGCAGGCCCGCTGGGAGAAAGTAGCACAACGGTCCTGAGAGTACTAAAAATACAACCCATCTCTGGTGACTTGTGCGGCGTCTCTTGTTTTCCTGCACCAAAGCAGCGTCTCTGGGGAGAGGAATGGAAAGCTGGCTTGCGATTGGAAGAGATGTGGAGTCCCAACTGCTGAGAGTTATGCTTCCATCCTGCGCAGCCAAGAACCGCATGGATCAAGCAAGGCTTTTTTGGTCTTTTCAGAAACAGTGGAAAGTTTTGGAAGTGGGCATTTTCAATTTTATGTCCCCCTGAATTAGGCCCGATGATCCCCTATGCACCCCAATTGTGGGACTATAATTAAGGGCTTATTTACAGATGCCAGACAGATAGGTGGTGGCAAAATCTATGTTGGGATATAACCATTCCGTGCATCAATTAATCATCTCCCTCTTGCCTGATGTTTTTCTTGAACTGTTAAGGGGTGTAATGAACCAGTTCAGGAGCCCCAAAACTCACTGGAGGATCACTGTATTCAATCTGCTTTTTCCCCCCTAAGTATTCACCTCTCCCTTCAGAGAAATCCACAATCCTTCAGATTAAAGAACCCTTTTCAGAAGTTTAAAAACACCAGTAAAAAAAACCACGTCTGCAAAAATCATTCTTACGCTCTGTTTTGGAATAATATTAGTTCTTTATTGGACGTTGCAAGACCAAAAAGGGAAAGAAACAAAATTTGCACATTTGTAAAATAACCACTGATAGTGAAAGGGAACCTGTTTATTCCTTGCAAGTTTTAGAGACCTAGAAGGTGCTTGAACAAGAGTGCAAAATCCAGAACACAAAACGCATGGAAAGATCCTGGGCTTTGGAGAGAAAAGGCTGCCTCTTTGTAGCACAATTCGCAAGTCCTTGGCAAAACCGTCAGCGTATACTAAAACAGCAAACACTGCATGAGCAAATCACTGGCATTTTATAGAGCTGTTTTGGCTGTCACGATCCCTATGAACTGCCCACCTAATTGCTTTGAATTTTGGGCTGGAGAGTTACTTGGATACAAGACAATTAAAAACCTGCTAGAAGAAACAATCGCCCAGAAAGGAAGGGGGGGGGGGGACACACATAATAACCAACGGGCAGCTACTCTGAGCAGGTATCTTAATACTAGGATATTAGGAGGAAGGTGACCAACAGAGCTTTGCAACTGCCTTACAGATGTCTGATAAGTTTCACCTAAGAAAGAGTCAAGTCTGGCATTGTGATCCTTTGGCCAGAGCACCGTTTTTCTCTTAAGATAAGATTAAAAAAGCTGCTGGGTTTTGTATAGTCCTGCCCTGGAGTGGTTTGCCATCTAAGGCAGTGTTTCTCAACCTTGGTAGCTTGAAGATGGGTGGACTTTAACTCCCAGAATCTGGAAGTTAAAGTCCACCCATCTTCAAGCTACCAAGGTTGAGAAACACTGATCTAAGGGAAAGATCCTATCCCAGGCTCTGCAAAGTGCATGCATTTTTATTTTAACCGCCGGCACACCCGACTTCTCACCCATTTGGAGCCCGAGACTTTCATCCCTGGAGACGCACGGGGCAATGCGCTCCAAGACGAGACATTCAAACTTCTCTACATCTCGAGTTGCTAATTTTGAAATTGGTTACATTCCGTGAAGAAGAAAAAAAAATCAAGCTTGGAGCAAAGCATGTACTGAGCCAGAGCCGAAGGGAATGCCCTCCCCACCCCCAAAATATTGCAAAGTGGGTAATTCTGGAAGAAGTCCGGTGATCGCATCAATTAGGGTTTTGTTTTTTGTTTTTTGAAGTAACACAGTGGAAAAACAAGTTCAACGTGTTCAGTTGCTCAAAACGGCAACCCTACGGGCAAATCTGCCTTCATCCTGTTTTTATCGGCACGTACGAGTGGGAGCCAAATCAAAAGGCACTATCAAAAAAAAAAAATTAAATCACGAAATCATTACAAGACACAATGCTAAGTCTTTCCCGCCTGCAGAGTTTGCATGCTATCAAACCACTTCCTCCCTAAGTCTTCCCCAGCCGCCTGTCACCTTGATGATATAAATAAAGAGCTTGATGACAGAAGTGGATGGATTGCAGCTGATTCAGTTCTGTGTCCTGCTTAGCCTAAGACCTGGCCATTCATTGTGACTTCTCAAAAAGCATACACTTTTCATAATCTCTGAGCATTTCGGGGAACTTGCAGTCAATGGCTAACTGATAAGTCCATACCCCTTTGGCAAAATGTTGGCTAAATTCCTACTTGTAAAAGATTAATCCTGACTGGCTCTGCTGGCCAGATATTCCACATAGACCACCCACAAACGAGATGCAGAAACTACCACGTCGTGTCAGGGACTCCGCTGGAAATAATACAACATACCCTTTTCTGTGCTTGTCTAGTCCATTAAAACCTCCATCTGCATTTGGTGACACAGATTTTGATAATCCAGAAGCGATTTAACCATAGTGCTTTAATGAAAGGTAAAATGCATTATTTCACTGCGTACTTTTAGCAGTCACTTTCATGGTTTGCCAATTCACAATTTTAGTTGTGACCAGTGTTCAAAAGTCCTTTTAATATATTTTTAATATATTCATGTATGTGTGCGCACGCCTGTGTGTAGATAACACAGGCGTGCACGCACATTACTCTAAAGCCTGGAAGATCAATATAAATACTGCTCCAGAAATTTAAAAAAAAAAAGTGTTTATATCCAGCTCCAATATTACAGCTCAGTGTCCTATTTTTAGAATCGTCTATAAAAAAAAAACTCTCTTAACGGTGCAGAGGTTCAAGTTTTCGCAACTTCAGTGATGTGCTGGATGACAAAACATCCTGGCTGGAGGAAGAGTGGAGAGTGTCTGGGGACTGGAATAACATTCTGCCCCGGTGATTAAATACATAAAAGGATGGATGGTTCCTTAATGTGTCAAATGTCCTAAAACAAAAGGAAAATGGGAGAGAACGGAATTAACGTTGAGAACAGTTATCGTAACTGGCAATCAGACAATCATTTCAGAGAGAATTTTAGACATTTGATTTAAAAAATATCATGGACACACTTAACTTAAATCTTACCTGTCTCTCCTGAAAGATAAAATATTTCTGCCATATCCTAAGCAGCAGAGAGAAAAAAATTGGGGATCGCTGCTTGGGACCAAGAACACGTGTACCTACAGAGATGGTGGCTTCTCCATTGATGGAAGGTTCTGGAGAACCACTTCTGCAAGGACGGTTTAATTGGTTTGCTTGCATACTGCAGAGGGCCGGACCTTATGATCCCTTCCCACTCTACAATCCTACGACGGATTTCCCCATACCCTTTGTCAGCCTTGACAAGTTCAGGCACTTAGCCTGCAGAATTGGCCCTGCTTCAAAATGTGCACAAACTCAACTTGTTAGCTAGCTAAGGCTTGCTATTAATCCAGATACTGTAGGTTTATTTCCCCAAACTTCTGCTACCTGTAATTCCATTCCCAAATGAGACCATTGGCCTCAAACTTTCTCTAAAAGGGCCTAAAATGACTGCGCACTTGGCAAATGAGCTTTTTTTTTTTTTGCTTCACCCGTTCTGAGAACCTAGCCTGTAAATGAAGCTAAGCCAGGCAGATGGGTTAGTGGAAAAGAGAAAAATGACAACATGAGTCTCGCTCCAAATGTCCTAAATTCTTGTTCTCAGAAGAACAATAATAATAAGTAATAGCAGTAGCCCCAAATTCAAGGAAGACTTTCTGGTTTAAAGTTTCATACCATCCAGTCAAAATGTCACCGTTTTTCATGAAACCTGTGCGTTTATTCTTTGGTAAACCACCAGCCCCTTTCCCTCCAGACTGAACCTTTGACTGAAACTTTGACCAACCTCTCACTCGTTGTTAATAGTTTTTCCCTCACAGGTCCAACATGCGCTTCTCACATGTGTCTAATGGATTCCATGGTTAATTTTCTCCCTACAATATAGCTCCCATAACCCCTGGCAGAACTATTCTGAGGGGGGGCGGGGGAGAATTATGAAGAGGAGGCCCCATGTGATCCTCTTCTCTCTGAGGAAGACACTGAGCAGAGCCTTTCATCTCCCCTGACATTATTTGTTGGCATCTGGCCAACAACACTCGTTTTCCCTTTTGAGCCGAAGAGTGAGAGTCCTCTCCTACCTGGCCTGAAATAGCACAATAACAATCAGGGAGACATGTAATTAGAGTAGTACTAATTGAGGAGGAAAAAGAAAGGCACATACTTATTTTTTAGCTCTGAAGTGGCGTCCATGTCTTTAAATTCTCCTGCAATATGCACAATCCCGTAACAGGTAACTGCAAAGGCCAGCAGAGTTTGAAGAACGATCTATAAACAGATGAAAAACGACAGCTGAGCGTTTTCAGGAAGCCTCTCCACCGTGATTTAGTTCGCGCCGAAGCTTCCGTATTCGAGGTAGTTCTCCTTTTTGAGCTCAAATGTAGCAGGGTTAAAAAAAGAATAACACGGTAGATCAAGATCTGGTTTGAGACACGGAATGCCTTCTTATGCTCACTGTGTGCAAATGTGAGAAAAAATAAATGAACTCCCTTTAGTGCAATTAAGACATAGATTTCTAGGGCAAAGGCATCGAGCTGTTTGCAATCTGAGCACTCCTGACCAGTTCAAAGTCGGTAAAAAAAATAATAATAATCAAAAACACTGAGAAAAAAGCGAGGAGAAAGAATGCAATGAGGGCAGGATCAGTAGGCGGAAGATATGTTAAGCCAAATGCCAGAAAGATCAGGCTGTTTACTCTGGGAGTTGAACCAGAGCGAAATACCAACGGGAGGCAACAAGGAATTCCTAGAGGGATGATTTCAAGGCAGAGGAAAGTGCCAAATTTGGACGATTTAATTCCTGCCACCAAGACCACATGCTACAATTGGCCACCCTACCAAGGGTGTAAAGAAAAAAAAAGAGCCACCAGTTCAAATCCAGCTCGGGCTTTGAGCTCAGTTCCCTTCCTCCTTTGTAGGGAGTCCTCGATTTACAACAAGTTCATTTAGTGACCTAAGTTATGGCACTGAAAAAAGTGACTTATGGCCATTTCTCATATTCATGTCCCCATGGGCACGTGATTTACAATGAGATGCTTGTCAATTGAGTCCTATTTTTGACAGTTGCAGTGTCATGCGATCCCCTTTTGTGACCTCCTCACAAGTGAAGTCCATAGGGAAGCCAGATTCACTTAAGGACTGTGTTACTCATTTAAGAACTGCAGGGATTCATTCAACAACCAACGTGGCGAGAAAAGTCGTAAAGATGGGACAAAAATTCCCTTTACCAAACATCTCACTTAACAACGCAAACTGTGGGCTGCATTGCGGCCCTAAATTGAGGGCTACCCGTACGCCAAGGTCCAATCTGCCACTCTGGGGCTTGTGCCCTATAACGGAAAGCAGGAGGCCAGGGATCACTTACGTCTATAGGCAACGTCTCATCTTCCTTCTCCGTTAGTCTCATATAGGACCGATCTGTTGGAAATACAAGGAGGCAAAGTGTCCATCTTCATCTCACCCCCCCTCCAACTGGGCCAAAACGGGAGCGGGGGGGGGAAGGGGGGGAGCAGGATGGGGAATGCAGAGGGAAAAGCATATTTAAAATATGGGGTTGGAGGGGGAGGGGGAGAGAGAGAGAAGGCAGGGAAGCCCAGGACCTTCATGCCCCCCTTCTCTGTGCAAATTCCCCTGCAGGGAGACCCCCTCCCCACAATTCTCTCCCCCATATTGAGCGCTCCAATAAGGGGTGGCTCCAGCTGCCCCCCTCCCCGCAATTATATCCTCCTGGCCTTAAAGGGGAGGGGGCAGCCCTTCCTTCCCCCAATAGACTTCCCCCTCCCCCTCTTCTCCCCTTCTTCCCCAATACTTTCCCCCCTCCCCCTCTTCTCCCCCCTTCCTTCCCCCAATAGACTTTCCCCCCTCCCCCTCTTCTCCCCCCTTCCTTCCCCCAATAAACTTTTCCCCCTTCTCCAATACTTTCCCCCTTCCCCTTCTTCTCCCCTTCTTCCCCCAATAGACTTCCCCCCTCTCCGTCTTCTCCCCCCTCCCTTCCCCCCTCCTCCTCTTCTCCCCCCTCCCTTCCCCCAATACTTTCCCTCCTCTTCTCCCCCTTCCTCCCCCCCCCAGGATTCAGCAGACCCCTTTGCGACGGATGACCTTTTACACCCCCACCTCCCCGGGACTACAATTCCCATCATCCTGTGCATCCTCGTGAGGTGAGGGAGCTGCGGCGGACGGGGGGAGAGCCCGGCTCTTTCTTCCTTTCCTCCCCCCTCCTCAGGCCCAACCGCCCCGGTCGGGCTTCCACCTTCCCCTTTCTGCCCCCCCCGGGGCTCTTCGGAAGGGAGAGTCGCGGAAGAAAAGCCCCCTCACCCACCCACGCGCGTCACTCACGCTGCGCGGCGGAGAAAGCCGCGTGAGCCAGGGCGAAAAGCCCGACCCCGACCAGCCCTTTCCAGAGAGAGGCAGCCGCCATCATCCGCCTCTCCACCTCCTCCTCCTCCTCCTCTCCTCAGCCGCCGAGGGCGCCGTGTGCGCATGCGCGGGGAGAGCCAGCGCGCGAGCCAGAGGAGGAGCCTCCGCCGTCGCGCCGCCATGACGTAATACAGCGCGCCGCCGAAATACGGCGCGCCGCCATGACGTCTCTCCCGCGCACGCGCGGTGTACGGGGAGGAGAAGCGAACCGAAGGAGCCGTGTGGGCGGGGCCGACGCTCGGCCGGGGATGATGGGCGTCGCGGGTCCGGGGAGGCGCAGGCGCGGGGGGGGGGGGGGGGGGGGGACGACGACGAATAGGACCGCGAGCGGAGCCATGGCGGCGCTGCTGCTGCTGGTGCTGGGCCTGGATCCGGGGCCCGGGGCGGGCGGGGGTCGTCCTGGCGGCCTGGAGGAAGAGCTGGTGGCCGAGGCCAGTCACCGCCAGGACAGCGCCAACCTGCTGGTCTTCATCCTCCTGCTGACCCTCACCATCCTCACCATCTGGCTCTTCAAGCACCGCCGCGCCCGCTTCCTCCACGAAACCGGGCTGGCCATGATCTATGGTGAGCGGCCACAGAGCCCATCATCCCCTGCCGACCCCCCCAGACCCCCCCCCCGCCTGGGCTTTTCTCCGCCCCCCCCCCCCGTGGAATAATGAAGCCTCGTTGGCTGAGGGAGGAGGGGTGTCATAGGCGTTGGAGTGGGGGGTGGGGGAGGACCAGCCTCAACCAAAAAAGGGGAGGGGTGGGGGTGGGGATGGGGATTCCCAGGCTCCCCCAGTGACCCCCCCTTCCTCAGAGAATTTGGGGAGTCCTCAGTTGGGAAACGGGGGTGGGGGGCTGAACCCCAACCTAGCATTGCTTTGTGGGGTCTCTGGAGTGAAACGAAGGCGGAAAATGTTTTTTGCAGGTTGTGCTTTTCATCCTTTCCTCCCCCATAGAAAGAAAAGGGTCAATTGGGGCCCCTTTCCCCTCTTTTGGAATGCGGGGCGGCGGCTACGAAAGCGTTGGCTGAATGGTGGTGGTTGGGAGGGGGGGCTCCTTGGGAGAGCCTGACCTGTTAAAAGGAGTGGGATGCTTGATATTTGAAATGTATCGGCTCCCCAACTCCCAATGGACTTCATAAACCCTGGCTGGCACCAGGGGTGAAATCCAGCAGGTTCGGAACAGGTTCTGGAGAACCGGTAGCGGAAATTTTGAGTAGTTTGGAGAACTGGCAAATACCACCTCTGGCTGGTCCCAAAGTTGGGAAGGAAATGGAGATTTTGTAGTATCCTTCCCCCTGGAGTGGGGTGGGATTGGGGATTTTGCAGTATCCTTCCCCTTGCATGCCCACCAAGCCACGCCCACAGAACCAGTAGTAAAAAAATTTGGATTTCACCACTGCCTGGCACCATTTAAATCCCTGGATTTAGGTCACGCATCTGGGATTTTTTTTTCCCTCCCATGATCCACAGCCAGGGGGAGTTATAAGTCCAGCGTGGTACCAGCAAGAATCCTCTGAAAAGAAGTGCAGAGTAGATATCCTCCATCCAAAAGGGATCTTTTTCAGGGAAGAGCTGAGATTGCGGCTCTAATGTGCAAAATGCTGGACAGTAACAACCCTCTTTTCTCTCCTATTTAATCTTGTTTTATTAACAGGAAATAAAACGGAGATATTTCCAAAAAATATTCAGTTGCTGTGTTTAGATCGGCTGCTAAGGCGTAGTTTTTAATGAAATAAATCACCAAATATCAATGGATCAAAATGTATTTAGGGTCAAAGACCAAACACAATAGAAGACAATGCAATAACTCTTAAAAAAGCACTTTAACTGGTGAAATGAATCCTATGACAGCAGCTAACGTTGCTAGTGTGGGAACCATTCAATACAGCTAGTCTTCAATTTACAACAGTTCATTTACAATGGCGCTGAAAAAACTGATTTATGACTCTTTTTCACACAACCATGGCAGCATCCCCAGGGTCACGTGATCAAAAATTCAGCCGCTTGGCAACTGACTCATATTTATGACGGTTGCAGTGTCCTGGGGTCACGTGATCAGCTTGTGTGACCTTCTCACAAGGTCAATGGGGGAGCCAGATTCACTTAACAACCGTGTTACTAACTTAACAACTGTAGTGATTCATTTGGCGAGTGTGGCAAGAAAGGTCGTACAATGGGGTAAAATTCACTTAACAGATGTCTCACTTAGCAACAGAAATTTTGGGCTCAATTGAGGTCATAAGCCGAGGACTGTCCGTATGCTAACAAACTACATTTTACAGTGTTGTGTGAACTGGGTTGCTGTCCTATTGTTTAGCTATTTGAATCCAAGAGTCTAGATCAGGGGTCCCCAAACTTGGCAGCTTTAAGACTTGTGGACTTCAACTCCCAGAATTCTCCAGCCAGCCAGCTATGCTGGCTGGAGAATTCTGGGAGTTGAAGCCCACAAGTCTTAAAGCTGCCAAGTTTGAAGACCTCTGGTCTAGATTAACCTGGCCAAAAAAAAATTTTTTTCCCAGCATGGCAGATCCCTGTAATATAGGTGCACATCTTGGATTTTTTTTCTGCAACATGCCTTGGCAAATCTTTTAGAAGTTGCTCAAGAGATCCGCTGCCATTTCTTCTTAACTGAAGCTGATCTCAAGAAGAGTGTTGGGAAATTTACTGAACTGAAAAGCTTCAGATAAACCACAGATTGCGCAACGGAGATAAAGGAAAAATTTAAATTTATCTGCTGCTGCTCCTTTCAAACTGACGGACGAGAACATCCCTATTTTAAGTTGCATTACAGTTGTAGTAATAGAATTTTTTTCCCCAATGAACAGGGGTTGGTCTGATTTGTGCACCGTAATTCATCGGGGGGGCTTGAATCTTCAATGTTTTCTTCTCTTTCTACCCTCATTGCTGCCGCTCTATTGCACCCAGTTTTTTTCAACAGCATCTAGGAAACATTCAGGCCACACATCACGTTGGTGTGTCACCACAGGCAGTGCAATTCTGAATTATTTTGATGAGGCTTTGCATGATTTGAGGGATTGAATTTATTCCTTTTAGGCGCCATTTGATTCTTCTGTTTCACCCCAATTTTGCTGGAGGAGTTCTTCTGACAGTCGGTGAAAGGAGGGTGCTAAGAATGTATCGATCTGAACTCTGAACCTCTCCGGATTGCTCTAGAACTCCAGCAAACCTGAAGTCCTCTGTTTCTTACAGGAGTTCTGGTGGGCGTCATCCTTCGCTACGGCATCCACATTCCCAGTGATATCAACAACGTAACCCTAAGCTGCCCAATGCAAACGAGCCCAGCTACTTTGCTGGTCAACCTGAGTGGGAAGTTTTATGAGTACACCCTGAAGGGGGAAATCAGTTCCCACGAACTTAATAATGTTCAAGATAATGAAATGCTGCGGAAGGTAAACTCGCATGCTTTCCTCTTTACTTTTCCCACTTTTTTAGATCAAGGGTTCTAGGAAAGCACGGTTGAAATTCTGTTGTAGCTTTTCCCCAGGTTTCTAGAGGAGTCTGAGGAAAAAATATATAGACTTTTTGAAGGCATCTCTGCTGCTTCTTCTCTGGGCTGATTCCTGTTCCTCAAACTTTTCCATTTTGCCTATTCAAGAAATCCCTTAATGGCTGTGTTTGCACCTTGCTTTAAATCTAAATGTGAATTACTGGGTTGCAACTTGCCACTTTGGGTGGGTCTGGCCTTTGGAAGAGGCAAACTGGCACAGGTTGTGTGCGGTCAGCCATTTGTAATTATTCAAGAGTCATAATGAGGCAAACTCACCCTAGGCCCTGTCCTTCCACGGCCAAATAAAAGGGGCTTCCTTCCCATATTCATCAGATCTCTTTGGAACAGACATACTGCATTATTCTGCTGTGTTGTGTACCCCAGACCCACACCGCAGTGACTGCCCACGCAGGCTGTGCGGTTTCGATTCTGGAAGTTTGGTGGGTGTGAACTGAACTAATGCCTCCCGGTTGTGAAGTTGAAAATTCTGGCATGCAGAACAGTTGTGCTAAAAGGTGGCCCAGTTCTTGTTTTTAACGAAAATGCGCTTCACCAAATGATAAGTTTTACTTTGCACCGATTGAAGTTGGGTCTTTTGTGAAGCTTTGATTCTCTCTTTTAATACCCTACAGGTAACTTTTGATCCTGAAGTATTCTTCAATATCTTGCTCCCTCCCATTATATTTTATGCTGGATATAGCTTAAAACGGGTAGGTGTCTGTTCCTTCTGATCCTCTTTAAAATTTATCCAGGGTAGCAACACGCTTGTTGAGAAGAACAGAAAGGAGACATCATCCACCTGCTACTCTGCTGTTGTCTTTGAGGACAACTTCAGTCTGTTTTGGATGAGGTCAGCTCACTGGATTCTCTTGGATTGAACGCCTTAAGATTCTGCTTTGGAACGGTTTGAAACGGGAGAAATAATCTTTTACATACCCAATTTTTCCATCCAGGACCTGTACAATGTAGGCCAGTGCATGCATACAAGAAAAAATAAACCCTTTAAGCAGTCTATCCTTTGCAATCCAAACCTTTGATTGCCTTCTCTTATACCCTGCTTTTCAGTGCAATAATAATACAACCAGAACAGAATTTCCGCCAGAAAAATAAAATTGGATTATAAAGAAATAGTACGTTGTGAAAAAAAAAAAAAAATTCCAGACTAAATGTGCCTCTGATCTTTCCAAAATCAGTCATTTGTAACCAGACACCAAGTGCCTATAGGCAGAGCTATCTGTCCTAATGTAGATTTTTCTCCCCATGTTAGGGAAAAAAATGAGTAATTGTATGCTTATAAAACATCTTAGTTGGAAAGGCATTTTAAGTGCTGGAGTGATAAGCCAATCGTATTGGCTGTTATTTGCTCTTTGTCTGAAATAATTGTATGTTTAGGGAGGGTTCAGTGGGACTTTGAGAAAAATTGCCATGTCATTCTGGCTCAGTCATTCCTAGCATTTAAAGTAACAAAAGTCTTTCTCTCTTTTCTCTCTCTCTTTTTTTTTTTAAGCGTCACTTCTTCCGAAACCTTGGATCCATTTTAGCATATGCATTTCTTGGAACAGCAATTTCCTGTTTTATGATAGGGTGAGAATTCCTACTGCTTCTAAAAATTGTTCCCTGTTTACATCCTTTGCATATTACCTAATCAACAGTTTCTCTGTGAGCAGCTGCAATGCCAGAGGTTAAAACCATGACAACAATAAGGCAAGAAAGATCGGCAATGAAAACAGGCGCAGTCTTAAATCACAAACAAAAACGAACAAGAGCAAGGCAAGGCCGCCTTGCATTTTTAAAAATGAGAAGCTGAGCAATTCCAGGCTGGTTTGGATGTGTTGATAAACAAATCCAGTTTGCAGAGTTCTGCGATTCTCCCTCTTGTCCATTGTGCCCATGAGAAGTTTTTGATTCCATTGCACAGAATTGAACATAGGAATGAATTACAGTTGGTTAATCTTAATTGTTTACGGTTCGACCCAATCACTAAACCGCTTTGAAGTGGGTCCCTCTAGATTTTTTTAAGCAGAGACGGGACTGAAATAGTATAGGGCCGTGATGGCGAACCTATGCCATGCGTGCCCGAAGTGGCACACGGAGCCATGGTATCTGACACGCACGGTGTCGCTTGTTCCGCTTCTGGGTTTCTGGTGTGCATGTGAACCCAACAATCAACAGTTCATATAGCAACCGTTCAAAGTTACAACAGCACCAAAAAAAAAAGTTAGGACATCTTTTGACACTGCTGATGGTTGCAGCATCCCCGATCTTCACGTGATTTAAATTTTGGATGCTTGACAACTGGTTCGCATTTACGATGATTGCAGTGTCCCCGGGGTCACGTGTCCCTAGGGGGTTGGGCAGCATAGAAATATGATTGATTAAATTTTTGCAACCTGCCTGACAAATTTAGATTTGTCGCTAACTTAACAACCGCGGTGACTCGCTTAACAAATATGGCGAGAAAAGCCGTAAAACAGAGGCCAAAACTCGCCTAACGAATGTCTCACTCAGCAGCAGAGATTTGGGGGCTCGGTTGTGGCTGTAGGTCGAGGATTGCCTGTGCTGAGGTTGAGCTTGCCATGGTGCCGACGATGCCAACTCTCTCGTGTTCAACAGATCCATCATGTACGGCTGTGTCGCGCTGATGAAAGTGATGGGGCAGCTTGGAGGAGACTTCTATTTTACCGACTGCCTGTTTTTCGGGGCCATCGCCTCCGCTACGGATCCTGGTAGGTTGTAGGCGGGAACCAGGGACCCTTGTTAACAGTGGTGGGATTCAAATAATTTTAACAACCGGTTCTCTGCCCTAATGACTGGCTGGGTGGGCGTGGCCATGGAGGGCGTGGCCAGGAGGTGTGACAGGCAGCACTTGGCCTCCTGCACCCCCTGGGAGCAAAAACGGGCCACGGGAGGGGGGACACGCCCCTCCGCGTCCCATTTTAGGCCTAGTAGACCTCCCAGAAGCCTCCTGGGAGTGAAAACAGGCTGCGGGAGGGGGTGTCACGTCCCCCCCACTTACCAGAATTCCTGAGCCAACCATGTTAGCTCAGGAATTCTGGGAATTGAAGTCCACAAGTCATAAAAGGGCCATAGTTGCCCACCTCTGAGCTAGAGAGAAGTTCCCTGAAGATGATGGGCTCCACTATGAGTCCAAAAGCTCGGAAGACAAAACTTCTGGTCCTGTTGACCGACCCAGATTGGATCCTGTCCTATAAGCGTTTGTTGGTTCTTTCTACATAGGTGTTTGCATCTCTGTCGTATTTTGAAGATTGAGATGTTGCCGGGTAAATAATGCGGTAAGCTAACTTGGGATTCTAGCAAATTCTTCGCTTTTTTTTTTCTTTTTTTCTTGGCTAGTGACGGTCCTCGCCATATTCCATGAACTTCAAGTGGATGTTGAGCTCTACGCCCTTCTCTTTGGAGAGAGTGTCCTCAACGATGCGGTAGCCATTGTGCTGTGTTCGTAAGTCGTGTGTCTTCTTCCCGTCCCTCTCCCTGGCAGAGGCAGCTCAAGTTAGGGAGCATCTGCGAAGCTGCTGTGCCTTGTAAAAAAATGATAGCAATAGCACTTAGACTTATATACTGCTTTACAATGCTTTTACAGCCCTCTCTATAAAGCGGTTTATAGAGTTGGCCTATTGACGTGCACTTACCATACAGAATCCTGAAAAACTCTGGAGTCCAGTTTTGAGCTGAATTGCACAATGAGAATATATCTGCTGAAAAAAAAAAACCTCTGCATTGGAGACAGGAAGGGCATCCGGCCAGTAAATACTCAGCTCCATTCAGTTTCCCAGATTCCACCCCACAAGGGGTTATGGGGTCATTAAAGGATGACGATGACGATGATGATTTCTTCTAGATAGAAAGAAGAAGAATTCTTGACTCCTGCAATCTGTGGAATGTTTCGCAAAGCCTCCTGCTAAGAAGTCTATATTCTGTGTTCCCCACAGTTCAATCGTTGCCTACCAGCCCGCCGGAGACAACAGCCACACTTTCGATGTGACCGCCATGTTCAAATCCATCGGGATTTTCCTTGGGATTTTCAGCGGATCGTTCGCCATGGGGGCTGCCACCGGTGTCGTCACCGCTCTGATATCCTTGCTTTGTCTGTCGGAAACTTTTTTTTTTGTTTCTGAGCGAGAAGGTTTGCAGCTTGGGAGGCTGTAAAAATCCGCAGAGTAAGGAGGTTCCCCCCAGTGAAAGAATTCAAGATTCTGGACTGGTTTGTCTGTAAACACCTCAAATTTTTACCGATGTGTTATTTAATTATTATTAGCACGATGCTTTTCTTCAGAAACAGACTTCAAGCTTTAACGCATTTATCATAAACTTGATTGGCCACAAATATCTAAACTGTAGAAATATATATATATGTGTGTGTGTGTGTGTGTGTGTGTGTGTGTGTAGGTCTTTGGTTATTCGGGTCTTCTCCCACGTAAAATTGGAAGTGTCTTGGCGACATTTCGACGAAGTCTCATTCATCATCTTCAGGCTGGTGTTCTCGGCTTCGTGCTTCCAGGAGCACGAATATATATATATTTTAAATCATGTCCATTTCAGCCAGTCAGAATTGCCCTATTGGCTTGTATTTGCTTATTGGGTTTATAAAGCTCTCTTAATTGTCAAGTGATTTAATTAAGGACCAATTAAGTCAAACAGTGCTAAGCCATTTGAATGTAAAGGGCAGAAACATTTCAAGAACAGACCACAGGGGTCCATAACTTGCACTCTACTCCCCTAGATTACAAGGTGAGAGCATTAAAGCAAAAAGACCCAATATTTGACAAGCCATAGCTTTGTCGATAGGGACGCCACGTGGCTCAGTGGCTAAGACGAGCTTTTCGATCAAAAGGTTGGCAGTTCAGCGGTTCAAATCCTTAGCGCCATGTAACGGGGTGAGCTCCTGTTCCTTGTCCCAGCTTCTGCCAACCTAGCATGTAAAAGCAAATAAAAAATGCAAATAGAAAAACAGGGACCACCTTTGATGTGAAGGTAACAGCATTCCATGCGCCATTGGCGTTTAATCATGCCGGCCACATGACCATGGAGACGTTTTCGGGCAGTACTGGCTCTTCGGCTTTGAAACGGAGAGGAGCACCGCCCCCTAGAGTCGGGAACGACTGGCACATATGTGCAAGGGGAACCTTTACCTTTTCCTTAGTTTTGCCGATGTATTTATGGGGTGGCTTGAACCCCTCAAGTTTGCTCAGTTCATATTTTTCCCTGATTTGGGGACTCTCTGGTTTTGTTGGAATGTTGTGTGTTTTTTTTTTTTTAAATCTGCAGAAATCTCTTGTAGATTTCTCCCTTAACTACTTCCAGCTTCACGTCACCAAGTTTACCAAACTTCACGAGTTCCACCTGCTGGAAACTGGCTTGTTTTTCCTGATGTCCTGGAGTACGTTCCTGTTGGCCGAGGCGTGTGGTTTTACCGGTAAGTAAGTGGCAGTGCGCTTCTGCCTTGTACCGCCTGAGTGGAGTGGTACCAGGAAATTTCCCAGTGAGATTTAAATCCTTGCCAAAATTGGCAGCGACGCCACTTCTCTGAGGCTGAAAAAGCCACACCCTGAAAGGTTCCCCCACTCCCCAAAACCCCTGGGGACAGTTCAGCAGAGGAGTTGAGCATTTGAGATACAATGGCAGCTCCTCGTCTTCAGTTACTCCAGTTTCCTCTGAGATGTTTCCAGGGCAGGCAGGGTGCTTTCCGGCCTGAGAGTGGGGTGTAATGGGTGGAGCTGCTTACGCCACACAGAACAAAGTCATTATCAACCCTTTGGGGCTGATTGCTCTCACCTGTAGGAATATTCTGCATAACTACAAACTTACGGGTTTCTGTTGGGACCCACGCATCCTGCCAGCTTTTAGCTTTCCCCCGAGTTTGTTCAGATCCGGCTGAAAGCCAATTCCAAGCCCTAAAATTAGGTTTATGCCGGTGCAGCACTCACCTACCATGCTAAGCCATAATTAAAAAGAGGGCTGTGTTGAAGAAAAACAGGAGATGGGCTTTGGGTGCTGCAGGCTCCTTTATTCATCCCATATTTTGTCCCCCAGGTGTGGTGGCCGTTTTGTTCTGTGGCATCACTCAAGCTCACTATACCTACAACAACTTGTCCACAGAATCGCAGCACAGGACAAAACAGGTGAGGCCTTGGACCAGAATGGCCAGGGAGGGACACCTCCCTCAACCCAGGACAGTTGCAATATTTTTTTAAAAAATTGTCCACTGTCCCCCCCCCTTATAAATCTAATAAATGTAATGCTGGCTTATCTATTTTGTGCTGTCCACGCTTTGAAGAATTCCCTGTCACTTTAAATACATATTTGGGTCGTCGTCATCCCAAGGATTATGCTACCATTGCTTTCTCATCTTGCCCAATATTTTAGTTGTTTGAGCTTCTCAACTTCCTGGCGGAGAATTTCATCTTCTCCTACATGGGACTCACCCTGTTCACCTTCCAGAACCACGTCTTTAATCCAACCTTTGTGGTTGGGGCTTTTGTATCCTTTTTTGTTGTTGTTGTTGTTTAAAAAAATATGAGGGGAAGCCACCTAGGTTGTGTAGGATAACCGTCTGGAAAAGGAGGGTTAAACAAAGAAAGATCTGCCAAGCAGTATAAATGATTATTACTCCCAATTAAACAGGATTAAAAAAAGCCATAATTGCACTCAACAATGAACTAAAGGGCCACCGCCAGTGAGCTGTTGGACAGCATTCCTTGGTCTGCTGTGTGGATGTTCGGGTGGTTTAGGGGTGGGGAATTTTTGGTGGGTGGGGTGTATCTGGGGATTGTCATGTGAGTTGGGCTTGGTCTCTGGGTGTTATGTGAATTTCATTGTATGGGTATACTGTGTATATAAGTATTCATTTATTTATTGGTTCGATTTATATGCCGCCCTTCTCCGGAGACTCAGGGCGGCTTACAATGCGTTAAGCAATAGCCTTCATACTTTTGTATATACCTGCTTAGTAGGGCTTTTGGCCCCTTTACAAAGTCAGCTTATTGCCCCCACAATCCAGGTCCTCATTTTACCTACCTCGGAAGGATGGAAGGCTGAGTCACCCTTGAGCCTGGTGAGATTTGAACTTGCAGTAATTGCAGGCAGCTGGTGTTACTTAACAGCACTTTAGTCTGCTGCGCCACCAAGGCTCATTTACAATGACAATAAACTTAAATTCTAAATTATAAAAAAGTTTGGGTAAATTCAGCACTGAACGATATAGATAATTTAATAATGAACACTCCAGTTCTCACGTTCAGAATTTCTCTTTGGAAGGGGAAAAAAGCATTGACTAGACGTAAAAAAAAACAACCACCCACTGAGTTCGCATGTTTACACCATTTTTGTTTTATCCTGGTTTGTTGGATGTTGGTGAGAAGTATCTGTAACCTGTGTCAGCTGACAGGAAATTGGGCCCTTAGGCTGCTAGTCAGACTTTACCAACTGGCGTGTCTGGGCTCAGTCTGAAAAGACAAAAGCTCATTCGGGCTTTTTTTGCACTTTTAGTGGCAAGCCATGTCTGGCTCTGAAAAGTTTTTAACTCGCCTGCCTGGTGAGGAAGTAAAGAAGTCAACCTCGATTGTGACATTTGCATGACAGTCTAAGCTGCTGTGAACCGAGTTAAATAGCCAGTATAATTTTAAAGTGGAGTTAAAAGAAAAAATAATTTGTGGGGTCCTTTGTGCTCCCTGAGCTGGTGGTTTTCTTGTAGACGTTTTATGACCCAACTAGATAATATCATCAGTGCTAGATTGTATGTATACAGAGAGCAAACCCAATTCCCTTCTACCACTGACGATGTTACCTAGGTGGGTCATGAAACAATTGCAAGAAAAGCACCCAGTTCAGGGAACATCAGGGACACACACACCCTCCAGTTCAACCCTGAGCTACAAATATTCTCTTCTATCGGAAAATAATTTCCTTAATGCAGCCATGAATCTAGCTGGCGGTATTCCTGGGAAGAGCGGCAAACATTTATCCCCTCTCTTTCCTACTTAACCTGGGGAGGCGAAACAAGATCGGAACAAACTTTCAACATATGATGATGTTTGCTGGTGAGTGACCCTTGGACTCCTTTGAACGTGGTTGCCATAAATAATTGCACACTTACTTGCAAGAAGGAAAGGAGGCTAGTATAGAGACGAAAGAGATGCAGTGGCTCAGTGGTTAAGACGCTGAGCTTGTCGATCAGAAAGGTCAGCAGTTCAGCGGTTCGAATCCTTAGTGCTGTGTAACGGGGTGAGCTCCCATGACTTGTCCCAGCTTCTGCCAACCTAGCAGTTCGAAAGCACATAAAAAAAATGCAAGTAGAAAAATAGGGACCACTTTGGTGGGAAGGGAACAGCGCTCCATGCGCCTTTGGTGTTGAGTCATGCCGGCCACACGACCACGGAGACGTCTTCGGACAGCGCTGGCTCTTCGGCTTTGAAACGGAGATGAGCACTGCCCCCTAGAGTCGGGAACGACTAGCACATATGTGCGAGGGGAACCTTGACCTTTACCTTTATAGAGAGGAAGAATGGGACCCTTCCGGTTTATAAGATTATATTGGCGTGAAGAGGGAGGGCCAGGTAAATACTTCTTATCGGGCTGAACAAATTGCCTTCAGGAAACAAATGGATGAGGATAAGGGAGCCAGAGGAGACATGATGCCTACTTGAAAGACAAGGAGATTATTTGCAACCTTTCTAGCTTTGTGGACCGAGGGCTGGGGGGGGGGAAGAGCGGAGGAAATGGTTCCGTGTGAGCGGCAGGTGTGCATGCTCACATGTGCAACTCTATTTGTGCACAAATGGAACTTCACGCATGCGCGCGAATGGCGGCCACTCGTGCCAATGCAGCTGCTTATGTGAGCGCGCTTGTCAGGGTTCCAAGGAACACCCCCAACAAAAGGAGACTCCGAGGCTAGAAGTTCCTCAAAGTTCCATTTTATTAGAGATGTCATCTTGGCACATCTGGGAAAACCTGAATCTGAAAGCTTCCAGGTTTTCCTCACCTAAAGGAAAGTCCAATCCCTTGCCCCAGCACCCACATCTCCATCACACGGTCCAATCAATGCACCGTCCCAACTGGAGATGCCTCCCAGCTACAGCCGGGTGCAGGGCAAGATGTCCTTGACTCTCAGAGAAAAGAATGTTATTTTGACTATCTATTTCTCCAGCTCCATACAGTCCCCCCTCCCAGTTCCCTACAGCACTAAATGTGGCAGCCCTGAAGATCCAAAGTAAAAGATGGCTACCAGGACTGACAGCGCTCACCTGCCGCCTGTGCGGCCTGGTTCCAAAAGGGCCACGGCCTGGGGGGGTTGGGGACCCCCAGATAAAAAGCCAGCCACATTTAGGGAAATTTCATGCATCCTTTCTTTCCCTCTCTCTCTCTCTCTCTTAGGCCTGCGGGGAGCCATGGCGTTTGCCTTGGCCATCCGGGACACAGCCACTTACGCGCGGCAGGTGATGTTCAGTACGACTCTGCTGATCGTCTTTTTCACCGTCTGGGTCTTCGGTGGTGGCACCACCACGATGCTCTCGTGCCTGCACATTCGGTGAGCAAGACCCTCCCTCCCCTCTTCCTCAGCTGCGAGCGGAATTGCTTAATTTGGGCGGGACATCCTGTACGTGGTGGGTTTAAAAAGAGCAGCTGTCAAAGCCACTTTCCGGATAATTGGCAATTTTGAGCAAGTTGGTTTATGTCTTTTTCCGGGTTAAGGGAGGTGCTGGCTTCAACGGAGTGAATTGCAATTGTGGTTTTTTTGCCGTTGCGTGAGTTTGGGTGAGGTGTCCTTTCAGAAACCCACGTGCAAACTGAGTGGGGCCACAACCAGTTGTGAAAAGGCTCCTCTTAGCCACTGGGTGTCAGCTTTGCTCTGGGTGATGAGCGTGAGAAGGCAGGAATAAACTACGCCAACTTCCCAAGAATGCAGTAAAAAAAAAAAAGGGGGATAAAAATTGAAACGCTAAAGAGGAGAAGAGATGACGGATAGAAAGAATTGCCTTTTAAACATTAAGGGGGCTTGTAAGATGATAGAGGCAGAAATGAAATTAGATAGGGCAACTATTAGAACGTATATTTTAGTAGAATAAACAAAAATAATAGAAAGATTAGAGGTTCATAGATGTTAGGCATCTAAGTTTAAATAATATTATGAGGATCGCCTAAGTTTGATAAATGTGATACAGATTACTAATCTTGTTATTGTAATTTGGATTAATATGAACGATGCCCAGAATCAACATTGTCCACATACAATATGGATGTATATTTTTTTAAAAAAGAAAAAAAAAGTGCAGTCTCATGAATACCAGCACAGCTCATATCTCAGCAGAGATGTTAGATTTATCCACTTGTGCACCGCCATCTGTCATCAGATGGAGAAGAGGTGGATTAATTATATACCATCAACTCAGGGTCGAGCCTTAGATTTTCTCCAAGATGACCTGTCCCCAACCTGGTCCTTCAGACCTTCTTCTTCTTTTTTTTTTTTTCATATTTTTTTATTATTAAATTTTTTTTAACATACATGAATCATAATATATAATATATAACAATATACACAATGTCCTTCAGACCTTCTAACGTTGCCCCATCGCCACTGTAACTGTGCCCTCTGTTTTCTTGCTGGTCATCATCCTTCTCCTCTTTCCTTCCACCTTTCCCAACATCTGAGCCTTCCTTCCCTTTGCACAATTTTTTACCCATGCCCGCCTGTTACTTTAGCACGAAGGGGCAATGGTCGTATTTACAGGCGGACACCTCAAAGCCTTTTGGGGGGAGGGTTTGTGTGCCGGCTGGATGGCCAGAGAGCTCTGCCCCCTCTCCCCCTCCCCCAGTCTGAACAGGGAGTGTAATCGTCCTTGTGTGTTCTTCCCTGCAGGGTTGGTGTCGATGCTGACCAAGATAATGTGGTAAGTGCCTCTCCTCCTCTCTCCGTCATCACTCCCTCACTCTTGCAGTTGTTAAATCAGAATTTCCGAGGCTTCAATGATTAGGATCACGCCTGAGACATTTCTCAACTTCTGGAGTGCCAAGCGCTTTCAAGATAAAGAAAATGAATAGGATAGAAAATGAATAGAGTGGAGTGGAGTGGAACGGAATGGAAATAATAGAAATAGAATAGAAATAAAAGAATAGAATGAAATAGAAATAATAGAAATAGAATAGAAATAATAGAATAGAATGAAATAGAAATAATAGAAACAGAATAGAATAGAAACTTTGTCACTTTAAATGTACATTAATTAGCATACATTAAAATGAAATTTTGTTGCATTCAGCTCTCAAAAGATAACCATTATTCATATGCCCACACACACACACACACACATACACACACACACACAAAAGATCTCATTTCCAACCAGCCTCCCCTGCGTCCTGATGCCAGGATTCTGCCAGAACTTTGTTGAAGCACTACAGATCTTTAAATTCCTCCCGGTTTTTGATTAACGCAATCCAGATCACAAACATCAGACAATAAACAACCCACCGCAGGAAATAAAGACCCCACTGGACATTGGTTGTGGCTCTCCGCCCCCAAACCCCACTACGATCCTGTTGCGTTCCTTCTTTTCCAGGGCGGGCCAGAAATCGAGGGGCGAAGCACCAGAGCCGAGAGCGCCTGGCTATTCCGAGTCTGGTACAACTTCGACCATAAGTATCCTTCCTAGAGACCAGCGGGTGATCCTGGGACCCGAGCTCCTGCATCTGCAGCCAGAGAGGGCCGAAGCGCCTTTCCTTCCTCAGCTGTGCATTCTTGTCTCTCGTGGCCATTTATCTGGGCTCCGGACCAAGAAATGCAGAACGATAGGCCTGTCGTATGTGCCATGCCTGCAGGGGCAAAAGATTATTTTAGTTTTCTGCCAGTCTCTGTATCCCATGCACCCCCGAGTTTTGACACCAGGCCAGCTCTCTGCTGTGTCCAGAAGTGACCGAGCCCCTGCCACTAGCAACAAACCTTTGAGAAACCTGAAACCAAAACTTATACCGAGCAACCTATAATTTCAGGGCCAAAGCGTTATCCTCCTGCTCCTGCAAGCTACTTTTTTCTTAGAATGAAGTTGGGCCAGACTGGTTTTCTGCCAGTCTCTGTATCCCACTGTTAACCAAAACCATAGTAGTAGTTGTGACGACTTAAGGTGGGAAAACAGGGGAGGAAATTTGTAGAGGAATCCTGTATGGCAGGGGCTCTCAACCTGTGGCCTACCAACCCCTGGTGAGGGGGGGGGGGCGGTGTTATCACAGGAGGTCAGCGAAGGATTAAAGAACGGTTATGATTTTAATCTTGGGGGTCCGTGGCCAGAAAAGGTAATTAAAAGGGGTTTTTTTACGCATGCGCCTAATATAATAGCAGTAGCAATAGCCCTTAGACTTATAAACCACTTCACAGTCCTTTCTGCCACCAGCAAGCAGAAGACGTGGGCCTCCTGTGCATGGGGAATAAAAATAAGAAACACCCCCCTCCCCGAAAATAAACCCTAGTGCTTATTTCGGAGCCCCAAAGAAAACAAGACTGGGTCTTATTTTCGGGGAAACATGGGTAGCAGAGTTAGTGCTAGAAAAACCATATACGAGTTGGTTTTGGATAAAAGGTAAAGGTTCCTGTCGCACATACGTTCTAGTCGTTCCCGACACTAGGGGGCGGTGCTCATCTCCGTTTCAAAGCCGAAGAGCCAGCGCTGTCCGAAGACGTCTCCGTGGTCATGTGGCCGGCATGGCTCAACGCCAAAGGCGCACGGAACGCTCTTCCCTTCCCACCAAAGGTGGTCCCTAAAAAACTTGCATTTCTTATGTGCTTTTGAATGGCTAGGTTGGCAGAAGCTGGGAGAAGTAACGGGAGCTCACCCCGTTACGCGGCACTAGGGATTCGAACTGCTGAACTGCTGACCTTTCAATCGATAAGCTCAGCATCTTAGCCACTGAGCCACCGTGTCCCTTGGTTTTAGATAAAAATATACTATTTCCGAAAATAGAGACGCCTCCTTAACCAAGACCCCCTTCCTCAGCTATTTAAAGCCTCTCTTGACGCACAGCGGTCCCCCCCTCACCACCACGCTCCCCAGCTGCTGCGGACCCCTTGCAAGGTGTTTGACGAGTCCGCAGGCTTACGAGGTGAGTCCAGGACATGCCCCCCAAAATAACCTGAAGGACCTCCCCTGGCCCACCGGTGCATTCCTCTTGGCCTGCTCACTGTTGCTGAGGTGGGCCGGGCGAAACCCCTTTCTCAACTAGGGCGTGGGGTTGGAGAGTTGACGTCCAGAAAAAGAGGGAAGGACCTCGGGGAAGTGGTGAGGACATGGTTTGGGTTGTCCTTTGCTGAAGTGGTCTCTGACTTCTGCTAGGTGGCGAGGTGGGCTTTTTCCTTCTTGAGGTTGATCGATTAGCCCCTTTTCCAGCCTCAAAAGCTCTTCAGGCTTCCTTCTGGATTCACCCTCAACTGTAGAGCTTCTAAATGAGCAGCAGACACCCCCCCCAACCCCAAATGTAGTGTTGAATGGAAAGGTAGGCTTTCCATAATTGAAAGGGCCCCCAAACTTGTTTCTCAAAATAAAACCTCTCCCCTCACAATGCCATCCCATAGACTGTGACCCTATCTTGCAAAAAAAGTAGGGAACGTGGTTGTTGACATTAAGAAGTTGTCCATCTCTCTTATGGAAGCCTTTTTGGTCTTTTGCTGTTTAATAAAGCCATCAATCTCCTTCCTTTCCTTCTCCTTCTCCCCTCTTCTCCTCCCTTTTCCCTTCCTCCTCCTTGTCTTCTTTCTCTTTTGCTTCCTCTTCTCCTCCTCCTCTTCTCCCTTCCTTCTCCCTTACTCTTCCCTGTGTTCTTTCTCTTTTTGTTCCTCTCATTCCTTCCTTTCCAATTCTTCCTCCTTCCCCCTCTCCGTCCCTTCTCCCTTATTCCTCCTCCTCATGTTTTTCTCCTTTTCTTCCTCCTCTTCCAATTCTTCCTCCTCCCTCTCCCTTCCTCCTTGTCTTCTTTCTTTTTCTTCCTCTTCCTCTTCTCCTTCTCCTACTCCTTTTCCTTCTCCCTTATCTTCTTCCCTGTGTTCTTTCTCTTTTTCTTCCTCTCATTCCTTCCTTTCCAATTCTTCCTCCTTCCCCCTCTCGTCCCTTCTCCCTTATTCCTCCTCCTCACGTTCTTTCTCCTTTTCTTCCTCCTCTTCCAATTCTTCCTCCTTTTCCTCCTCCTCCTCCAGAATCAAGAGCAACTGAAGGACGACGACTCAGATCTGATTCTGAACGATGGAGACATCAGTCTGACGTACGGGGATTCCAGCGGGAACTCCGATTCGTTGCCGTCGGGCGCCTCCAGGCGGGTGGCTGGAAACGGTTCCGAGGACATGCTGGACCAGGAGCTGGCCTTCGGAGACCACGAACTGGTCATCCGGGGGACACGCCTCGTTCTCCCCATGGACGACTCCGAGCCTCCTTCCGGCATGGTTGACAACGCTCGCCATGGCCCGGCCTAAGATCGGTTTCTTGAGACAACGGGGAGTCCGAGAAAGAGGAACCACAGGAACAAACGACAACAAAAATATCCGCAGATGATGGTGACGAAAACCTGGCTATCGATGACCCCAAAACCTACCGCATGTCTCAGAACGTCTGAGCTGTATAAATACGATTTATTGATACGGTGTCAGGAGAAACATCCGCTATCTGTGCAAAGGGAGCGAGCGGTTGATTTTGTGCGTTTAGAGACAACCCTGGGAAATCGATGGGACTTGCACCAAATAGCGGTGGAACTGTTTTAGATACAGTTGGGCCACAGTTGGGAACGGAGGCCAGCTTTGCAACAACCCTTCCGGTTCTATAGAGTGATGTGGTGTTGTTGTTGTTTTTGGGTTGGATTTTGACCATCCAGTGCCCGTTTTGCTGATGCCAGGGAAGGAAGGAAGGAGGGGCAAAGATTTGAGCAGTGGGGAACTTTAGGCGAGGTGGCCAAGCTGCAGTTAGGCAGAAGATCTAAGAAAAACTGAAGGGGATTGCTTGAAGTCTTTATTTTGAAGAACATCTTCTGGATGTTGGACGGATGATTTGGAGAGAGTTGTCCAGGGGGCTTCTGTTGTGGCCGCCTGGCTGTCCACACTGAAGGCAGAATCAGCCAGATGTTGGATGCTGTGGACCTAACAAGCTTCTGACTTGGCAAGTTTTTGTGTGTGTGGACAGGTACAATCTCCTTGGTTGTCCCGATAGGCCAGAAGGTTTATCCTCCGGACACCGAAGGTGGATCATTTTATCATTGTTTGGCTTTTAATTTTTCTCTCGCCTTATCTCATCGCATTAGGGTGAGGGACCGAAGGACGGGAGTACCGAAACAGCTACCGTTTTGTTAATTTTCGTGCAGAGGATTAGCACGCTGCTTCCGGAGCAGGTGGGAGGCACCCAGTTAGTTTTGAGCTTTCTATTCTAGAAACCCCTGGGGGGGTGGGGTGGGGGCTGCAGATTTTTTTTTTAATGGGTGCACATCTGCAAACACAAAAAAAGAAACAGCTGGAACAGTAGCACTTGGGACTGTTCAAAAAAAAACGCAGGTAGAGATTCTACAGGGTTTTTGGGTTTGTTTTTTTTAAAGATACTTGGAACATCCGTCCATTTGTATAGTTGCACTGTTTGGTATTGGTTGCACGATAATGCGTGTGTGTGTGTGTCTATAATGGGGGGGGGGGAGATTTTTGTCTCATCGTTTACAAATCAGTGAGAAAAATGCCGATAAGGCTTATTTCTTGGCCTTATTTTTTTTTTCCTTTGCCTACGAAAGAGCTCTGAACCACCTACTGATTTTTACATTCAGTTTATTCAGATTTTTTTTTTCTTCCTTCTAACTTTCTGCTTCCGTCGTTTTGAGGATTTTCATTGCATCTTTTCCAGGCACACCGGCAGATCTGGTAACGGTTGCCGGCTGAACCTCATCGCTTTCTTCTTTAGCAGAAAACACACACACAGCCAACTCTCGCGTTAGAATTTCGAAAGAACTTTTTAAATGCCCTGCTTTATTCTAGTGACTTAACGGTCCCTGCTTTTTAATCCCATTTTAAAAACGGGTTTCGTTTCGATCCTTCTTTTAGATTAGCACGACCCGCGAGCAGCAGTAGAGTTTAGCTCCTCCGTCAATCAATCACCAGAGAAATCTCTCATCCTAAAATAAACGTCGTGCAGCTAGGCATGCTTTCCTCTAACCAAAGGAGGAAAAACACGCTCCAAAAATTGTGGAATGTTGTGACCATTTTGTGCCCTGGAAGCAGGCTATTTTATTATTTTATTTTATTTTTTCATTTTCTTTAATGAGAACATTTGGGCTAAGATTTATGGAAGAGAAAAACCGAGTTGCTTCATCCTTTTAAACCTTTAAAGATTGGCTGTGCTGGACTTTTGCCTCCAAGTCCTTCTTCTGGTCCAGCAAGAAATCAATTCCATTTCAGCCATGAAAACAGATTAACTTTTCGTTTTCCAAAAGTTCCACGTCTGAATTAACTTTCTTCAAGTCTCCTTCAGAACAATTTTGAGGACTTGCCTGCTCCTTTCCTCTTAGTTCCATTCTGCTTTCACCGGCTCCCACCCATCTTGAGTCACCCCAATTCTGTAGTGACACCCCATTCTTGAGAAGTATAAAGCTTCACTGCACTGGAAAATAAGATTTTTTTCCCCCCTTCTCCTCTCTTTTAGGTCTTTTATTATTATTTTTTTTCCTGCTATGCAGGAACGTCATTAAATATATGTGAATGCATGTTGTGCTTCTATATAATGTCTGTATCTTAATGTCCGATGTTAAAATAATAATAATTAATAGTACTATTGCTAATAATAATAATATGAGAAATGTTCGTGTGATAACTCTTCGGTTTCAAATGTTTCTAAGCAACAGCTAATGATCTTGTGTAGCCTGATTAGTCACGGAGTTTGCAGACTTCTGTATCAGAAAATGTAGAATTTTGTCAAGGAGACATACAGTGGATTCCCTCTTCTGCTCCGTCCTCTCCAATTTGGAAGATTTGCACACTTTTCTACACTTAAGTTTCTTTTCTTTCTTTTTTGTAAATCCTGACTAAAGACACCTTGCGTCCTCCAGATGTTGTGGAACTACAGTTCCCAGCAGCCTCAAATGTCACGGCCAAGAGGGTGGCATGCTGGGAATTAGAGTCCTCCAACATCGGCAAGGTTGAAGGTTGTGCCCATCCTGTTACGTGTACTTCAACAAACATCTGGAAAGCCCCATATGGTCCCGCTTGAGACCTTTGCCCAGACCAAAAGTAAAACAAGATCCTTGGCAATTTTCGGTTGTGTGTCTAAATTTGATGTCTTATCGGCATGTAATCAATTAAAAGTGGAGCTGAGAAGTTTAGGGAGATCCTAGATCCCAAGGGAATCCACATTTCTTCAGTTCTGCTTTGCTGCCTTTAAACTGGACAAAAGAGGGAAATGTCCCCACGCCCAACTCCGTGGTTGTGCGTCCTTTATCCTCAAGTGCAGTTGTGCAGCACCAGACTATTCCCGTAAAACTATTCACCTCACACGTTTTCTTATTTATTTAAAGCAGCAACTTGCTAAAGTGCGTTGAGAGAGGACTTGTGATGTAACCGTAGGTTTCCGTGCCTCTTGGTTAGAAACCTGGCATAGACCTCTTGGTTTCAAGAGACAAGGCGATGGTTCTTGGTGGTCCCTTGGAGAGGACATCCTTGTAACATCTTCTTGAGAAGGTGTCCTCCTAACGGGAACCCCTTGAATGCATCTTTCCTGAAACCTACATTTAAGAATGAAGGTTTGTTACAAGTTCTTTTGGGGAAAAGCAACCTGATCTTCAGACAAACCCACCAACCAACCAACCTTCTGAGGCTGAAATCCTGCATCTTTGAGAATTTCTCTTTCTAAATGTAATAATAATACACTCCAAACTTGTGCAAGTTTGCCGTTAAGACATAATAATAACCGCTGCACCACTCCAGACTTGGAATGCCTGGGATAGTTTTCAACTGCTGATTGAGTTAATACTCTCCTATTGGGAGGTGGATCCCAGGTTTCTTGGCCAGTCAGTAATCGGGAACCCTTCAACGCTGGAACCTTCAGATCCCCACTGCGGTTCCTCCAGGATTAACCATGATCTGCCACAGATTGAACATGACGTTGATAAGTGTTGTGTTTCTTTGATGCCGCAAGAAAAGCAATTCCCTTGTGCTTAATTTCTCCGGGGCCCAGTTCTTAACACGACCTCCAAAAACAGCAGTGGGGATTTATAAGTTTGTGACTCCAACTGTGGGTTTAAAATCAGTTAAACCCTCAAAATACGCTTTTTTCTCTCCTGTAAAGATTCAACTTCTGCATCGGTGACGTCGTACTTTCAAGTTCTAGTGTTCTCTACTTAACTGTTGAATTGTCTCTTTTTATGGTATTGACTGCTGTAGTTGTGGCATTCTTTGTAACGATAACCCTTAAGCATAATAATTGCACCTTTCTTTTCGGTTGATGATAACTCAAGTCTTTTATTGTTACTTGCACTGTGAAAGAAATCATGGGCCTATAAAATAAGTTTCTTCAAATCGGATGCGTCTGCGTGGTTTTTCACTCCACACGAACATGTGTTTTTAAAAGTGATTTATTCCTCGATCGGTGGACTTGGTTACTGTTGTTTTTTTAAAGTCACGTTGTGTCTTGCAGCTATAAATCACACACCACCGAAAAAAGAAAGATGTGCCAAGTGGAAATGGAAGCTGCATCAAGATTCTGTACAATAACTTAGCGTAACGTAATTATAAATAAATAAAACGGCCTCTTTGTCGAGCTGTGTGATCTGGCGAGCAAAGACTTGGACTCTACTGTTTTCTCCAATTAACCTGCGTTAGCTAAAGAAAGAAAAATAGATATATAAATAGAAAATAAATCTCTTCTGATCTTCAACTCGGGGTGTCCTTCGACAATGAAGGCAACGTATTTGACTTAGCCTGTTTATTTATCCTTTCTTGAATAATGGGCTCACTAAGCCACATTACTGGAACCATATTAGTTTGCTCAATAACTTGGTTTTGCCATCTAGCCTGGGGATTCTGTGTTTGTTTTGATGCTTTTGAATCAGTCCTGGTGATCGCTTGGAGAAGTTTCTGGCGTTTGGGAAAGATTTTGGAAGTAGTTTGCCATTGCCTCCTTGCTAAGGGCTGGGAGAGAGTGACTGGCCCAAAGTGGGACTAGAACTCAGCCTCCTGGCTTCTAGCCTGTTGTTTTCACCACGACAGCTTTGGTGGTGTGAATCCTGCTAAATGGCTATATTGTTAGGCTTTTTGTGACTTTATTTTTATTCATTTATTTATTTGTCAAGCATATATAAGACAACAGGTAAAAGTATAAACATAATTTGAATACATGGAAAGAGTAAGAGTAAAAAGGAATATTAGGACAGGGACGGTAGGCACGCTGGTGCGTTTATGTACGCCCCTTACAGACCTCTTAGGAATGGGGTGAGGTCAACAGTAGACAGTCTCAGGTTAAAGTTTTGGGGGTTTGGGGAAGAAACCACAGAGTCAGGTAGTGCATTCCAGGCATTGACCACTTCGCTGCTGAAGTCGTATTTTCTGCAATTGAGTTTGGAGCGGTTTACCTTGAGTTTGTACAGTATCTATTGTGTGCTCATGTATTATGGTTGAAGTTGAAGTAGTCATTGACAGGTAAGGACATTGTGGCAGATAATTATATGTACAACGCATAGGTCAGACCGAAGTCGGTGTAGTTCTAAGTTGTCTAAGCCCAAAATTTGAAGTCTGGTGGCATAAGGTATTTTATTGCGGGTAGAGGAATGGAGGACTCTTCTTGTAAAATATCTCTGGACTCTCTCAATTATATTTATATCCAATATGCAGTGTGGGTTCCAGATAGATGAGTTGTATTTGAGAATTGGTCTAGCAAAGGTTTTGTATGCTCTAGTTAGTAGTACAATATTCCCAGAGAAGAAACTATGCAAGATTAGGTTGACAACTCTTTTTGGCGACGTTGTTACTGTGGGCTCTGGCACTTAGATCTTTAGAAATGAGTACTCCAAGGTCCTTGACAGAGTGAGGGTCATCTACAAGGTCATGTCCATCTAATTTGTATTTTATGTTTTGATTTATTTATTTTTTTTGCCAATGTGCAAGACAGAGCATTTGTTGGTTGAGATTTGAAGTTGCCACTTGTTAGACCAATCTCACACATAGTCAAGGTCTTTTTGAAGGGTAATTGCATTTAATAGCTTAATTGCTTTGGGTGTGTTTTAATGGGCTCTTTTGGGGATATTTTTCTGCATGTTTTAGCTTTATGAGCCTATGTAAGATGGCTCAGGTGTTAAAAATTGAACCATCAAACCTATAAATCACCTGGCTTTCCACCACCCGTTAAATTGGAAACACGTATGGCCCCAACTGAAGGACTTCACGGCTACATGGTTTTTTTCTTAAAAAAGTAACCCAAATCTAACTTTTTACCTTCAACTTTTGTAAAAAATAAGGCAGGGATTGAAATGTTTACATGCAACACAGCATCAATCTGGGTTGCCAATTGGCCTCCTTGCTCTCCAACCTTCTGCCCTGATGGGACCACCTCACAAAGTTCAGCTCTTTTTTTAAAAAAGCTAGTTTTAGGAGGGGGAAAGAAGAAGCATGAAGCTTTTTCCAAAATACAAACTCGTGTTGGGCCATCGATTAGCTCCAAGGAAGAATAAATCCTGGTTAGGATCAATCCGTGAAGGACAAAAGGCACAGAATTATGACCCAAATTGCAAGAGAACAAAACTTCCCACATGGATGCCTATATGCTGGAATCCAAGAATTTGGCTGTGAGACGAACTTTGGAATGCTTTATCACAATATTTAGACAGGAGTCTCTCTTAGCAGGGATTTTTGCTTCCAGTCGCCTTTTTCTCCCAAAAATATCCAGCTTCCCTTCCCTGCCAGGAAAGGGTCCAAACTCTTGGGGGGGGGGTGGAGGGCATGGCCTTTGCCAGCTAGAAGTTGCCATATATGGTCGCAGTCTCCCAACGTGGGGTGTTTGTGTGACCCACCCTCATTTTTAAGGTGATGTATGTTTTGCCCCGCTTCCCTTTTACCTAACCTCTGGAGAATGTGGAAAGCAAAATATAATTGCTCACCAGTCAAAAATGTCTCCCTTCCCACTTGCTGGCTTTGCAAACAGCCGCAGGTCGTTTCTTCCTGCGATACATGAGTGCAAAAATTAAAACAGTCCGGACTCTGCTTTCTCTGGCCACCGTCCCGCCACATGCTTTCCCATGCTTAAGAGCCATGTCCTGCAAAGCCCAACGGACGAGGTTGGCCAGGCACTCTACGCATAACCTCTGGCTACGTCCACAAACCCGGCTAAGATGAAGAGTATTTGAGTCATGAGTTCACCGTGTCCTGCGAACGGAGCTAATGGCATATCCGGGGTTTGCCAGATCTCCGAGCCATCCTTGCAGGTTTGGGAAGGGGCCCTTCAAGAGTGGTATCTCCTCCAGCTTTCCTCCTCTCCAGCCACCAACTCTGGTCTTCCCTCTCTTTGGGTCCACACACACACAACCTTCAGGCCACCAACCAGCCAGCCACACTTCCATCTGACACATCACGCAAACCGACAGCCGGTTTGGTGAGCCGATCGCACCGTTTTTGGCCGGAGGAGCCTCAAAACTGGATTGCATTAAGCAAGGAAAGACGCAGAAGCAGCAGCAAAGGCGCCGGAGAAATGGATTCGGAAACGGAGCAAGTTGGCCTTGGTTCCTTTCTGGATGGGAGACCACTGAGAAATTTCACGCTTCGCAGAACGAGCAGTTTTTTTTACCCAAGCAGAAACTTGGATGTCTGCTTTGGAAGCTCTTGCTGAAAGGAAGAAGAAGAAGAAGAAAAAAAGAAAAGATGTTTCCTTATTTAGTTCTTTGGAATCGGTTAATTAGGGTCACTTCCTTCTGAGCACGTTTTGCAATAAACAAAGCTTCTCACCTCCCTCCTTCCTCTAGTTTCAACATTTCCAAATAAAGCTTTTTTCTCGGCTGCAGCTGCTTCATCAGTGACTAATAAAACAGCCTCTTCCAAGTCAGCTCAGCTCCGGCTCAGCTCTTGTTTGGACAGCAAGCCAAATCTTCATTTGTCTCCCGCTTCATTATCCTAGCCAGACAGGGAGACGTGCCTGGAAGATCCCAGCCAGCTTTCTTGCTCGGCGTTGAACTGAACCATTATCGTTTTTTTAAACCTCCCGAAATCTGTAGCGAAGAGTCTTCCATGCGACATGCATCCATCCGTGTCTCTCCTCGCTCTTCATCTTCCGCCCTCTCCGATCATTTCCCAAACTTAAGATGGAGATTTTCTTTTAGAGGAAAATAATAATCGCCTTTTACCATTTATGCAGCAAAAGGGTTATTTCTAAAAAAGCAGGGCCACCTGAGCTCATTCTTTACGGATACAGGATTTCCAGTTAAGAGATCTTTGCCGTTTTCCCTTGAGTGTTGCTATAAAATGTCCAACAATTTTAGCAAGCAGCCTGTTAATCCTTTACAATGGTGTTGCTTAACTTTAGCTATGTTAGATGTGTGGACTTCAACTCCCAGAATTCCCCAGCCAGCATGTGGACTTCAACTCCCAGAATTCCCCAGCCAGCCTGTGGACTTCAACTCCCAGAATTCCCCAGCCAGCACGTGTCATAGACCATTCTCTAAAGTTAAGAAATATTGACCAAATGATACAGGTTTGAATCAACTCCTTTATGCAGAAGCATTAAAGCAGCGAGGAAATGTTTTATATGGAAATAAAATGAGAAATATGGGAAGGCAACATGGAAATTAAGAAAGGTCCTGGATGGCAAAGAAAAATTAAGGAAATTTTGTTTCTGGTTTCAAAATCCTGCATCTTTGGTTAACTAACGAGGGAGGGAGGGAGGGAGGGAAGAAGGAAGGAAGAGGAAAAGGAGGGAGGGAGGGAGGAAGAGAGTGAGTGAGTGAGTGTGAATGGATAGATGCAAGGAAGGAAGGAGAGGCAGGGAGGAGGAAGGAAGGAAGGAAAGGGAGGGAGGGAGGAAGGAAGAGTGAGTGAGTGTGTGAATGGATAGATGCAAGGAAAGAAGGAGAGGCAGGGAGGAGGAAGGAAGGAAGGAAGATGGGTGAGAGAAAGAAAGGAAATGCCTTGAGGAGGAGAATTTCCCAGGCTGCCCTTCTGAATCTGCCAGCGATGCCCCTCCTGGTGCCAGCCTGCCAGTCCTCTGTAGCCTCCTTGGCTGCCCAAACCTCACCCTCGATACCTCTCCATAGGAAGAAACGACAACCAAGTATGTACAGAGGGTGCCAATCACACCCAGCTCCCTAATCTCCCAAGAGGGGTGCAATACCTTTGCCTTTCATTCAGGAGTGGCACATTTGCCGCTCCTTCCCTTGGCACCAACTTCCCTGAAACACTTTTTTTCTAAGAAAATCTCTACCGTTTCGCCTTCACCAAAAACTGAGTGGAAAGAAACTTCACCAGAACTTTCTTCCAAGTGCTAAATCCTCATGCAGAGGGTTTTTTTTTTTCCTTCAAAAAAAGGAATTTTGTAACCCAGGGGCAATGAAATATATGCCCCCCCCTATTTTCCACTGGCATTTATTTTTCTGGCCTTCTCGCTCCCCCTACCCCCACCCCAAATTCCTGGTGGCTGAAGTCACTTCCCTTCAGCGCAATTTTATCTAAACTGTTTATAAGCCGTGGGTCAATTCGTCTGAATTGTGACAATGTGGTGGGGAGCAGGCAGGAACTGGAGCGAATGGTTAGCTGGTTCCTGCCAAGCCTTTTATGGCAACT